CTCTTTAAAGTGTTGAAAAGCAAAGATATCATCTTGAGGACTAAGGTACTTGTGATTCAAGCCATGGTATTTTCAGTAACCTCATATGCATGTGAAAGTTGGACAGTGAATAAGGAAGACCACAGAATAATTTATGCATTTGAGCTGTGGTGTTGGAGAAGAAAATTAAAAGTGCCATCGACGGCCAAAAATACAAACCAATCTGTTTTGGAAGAAGTACAGTCAAAATGCTCCCCGGAAGCCAGCATGCAGACTTTGTCTCTCATATTTCAAATATATTGTCAGGAAGGGCTAGTCATTAGAGAAGGATATCATGTTTGGTAAAATGGAGGATCAGAGAAAAAGAGGAAGATCCCAGCAAATGGATTGGCACAATGGTAGCTGTCACAGGCTCAGATGTAGCAAGGTTTGTGAGGTTGGCACAGAACCAGGCAGTGTTTCCTTCTGTTGTGCATAGGGTCACTATGAGTCGGTATCTACTTGAAGGTATCTAACAGCAACGAGAGCAGAGTACCCCAAGCTTCTTGAAAAAATATAAAGTAACCAGACCTTCATCCTCATTAACAATTTTAACTGAGGATAAAATGATAGCTTTGCTTTAATAAATCCTGCTATTGTGTATTTTTCTCTATTAACATATAAGCAAATAATCATCTACTTGTAAAGGCACTATTTTTATTTAACAGTGAATAAAATAATAATTAAACAAGTTGTGAACTATTATTTTGTTTTTCAGAGTGACCATGTAATTAATTTTTTCCTTGCTGAGCCTGTACAACAAACAATTGAAGAGTCACCATTTATCAACCTAGGCAAGTAAAATCTTCATTATTATGTGGAATTATTAAATTTCAATGGAATTGTGTAAAAAAAAAATCTCAACCATGATTTCATTTTTCAATTTTCATATTAGAATCTCTCTGGGGCAATAACATTTTAAATGTGTTTTCCACTATTTCCAAAGCTTTTTAACTTTTTTTTTTTTTAATGTTTTATTGTGAATATGTGATAGTTTACATGGGAGAACATTAGCTTTACATTCATCCTATCGTATTCCTATCGTATATC